CTCGGCAGGCCATTCTGCGTAGCCGCGGAGATGTTCAACGACGAAAGGAGCTGGCTCAACCGAGTCTGGACGATGCAGGAGACTACCTCCAACTGGCTCCTCGGAGGGCTGGTGCCTGAGGAGTTCATGGTTCGGAAGGAGGACTTGGACTTGCCGACACAGTTCCACGACGGGGTTTGCAGTCTGCTGCAGGTGCTGGCGCGGGACCCACCAGACTTGTTTGCCTTAGCCAAAGTCTTACGAAGCCGGCGCGGTACTCACCATATCGACCAAGTCAGCGCGTTGGGACTCCTCTTGAAGTGTCCCGCTCTACCGATCTACGACACGAAGCAGCGCTGCGAAGACGGTTGGGGCCAGCTCGTGCAGCAGATGTCGCACAAACACCGGACTGACCTCCTTGTCAACTGCCCTGTGGTCGGCAACGCTCCGGGAACTAAATGGTGCCCTTCGTGGTCTCAACTCATGCTGGGGAAGACGATACCCTCGGAGACCACTGTCATCAACTATTCCGAAGGCGAGCTGCTCAACTGTAGCCCGATATCTCACGATCCCTCGGTCAACCTTGGAGTTGTTTACTGGAACTACGCATACGTCATCGAGAGCTGCGAGTTTTCCATCGAAGACGGTCGCATACACATGCATGTTCTCCTTGGTCCAGCCTCTCAGTCGCAATTTGCCACCGACAGCTACAAGACGCAGCCTTTCCTTGTCGAGTTCTCCGGAGCGAACCCGCTTTTCGATCCCAGCCTTTACTACGCCGCAGTCGGAATGGCGGATCTGGAGTACTGGGTACTGGGAAAGATCTCGGGTCACGATCAAAACATGGAGTATGTCCAGTTCGAGAAGATCTCTACCTTCCGGATCCCGGATGCCAGGGAGAGGGAACGACTTTGGCACCTGAACCCCGGCTACTCCGATACTCCTATACACTATCTCTGATCAGGAGCGAGTACGGTGAGCACTCAATCATTACCGTTCTGCAGACGTTCCCAAACTGATGGCGGTTGTAGAATAAGCAGGAATGCTCCTCTCTGCGCGCTCTTGAAGGATGGCGCGCAACTGGTCCGATATTTTGATATGCAGAAAGCTTTGTTGAAGATTACGAGTCCGCTTGTACGACTGGTGATCGTTGTTCCGGCTGTATTGTAGCTAACAGTAATGCGACAGGCAAATGTATAGTACTGTGGACTTTTCGGCGGTGTCTATCACTACCCAGAATGATATATGACTCGAAATCTTTCAGGCGTGCTTGTGTGGACCGTCCTTGATGCTGTCGGTTACAACGAGCGATCTTCAGAAACTGGCGGGAAGACACGATGCTAGCGGGGAATACCCACGTAATCGAGACCTAAGATCGCATGGCGACAGCGCGTACGCCGGGAAATGGCTGTTAATCGCATTATGGATTACAGACTTACTTCTGCATGTCTCCATGTCGGACACGGGCGCACGCGACATAAACACTACTAGCGTACAATAAGCCTGGTTTTACGTAAATATACATCGAATTATCATCTGTTATGGGCTACCTCAGGTCATTACTTTCAGGATGCGCGATAAAGGGAACACGCTCACCAATAGCGTACTTAAACATAAGATATCTTGGTGTCGGAGTACCCAGGGTTCAGATGCCACAGTCGCTCCCTCTCCCTGGGGTCTTGAATCCGGAAGACAGCGACCTTCTCGAACGTCATCTCCGAGTCCCCCCGCTCCAGGATCTTGCCCAGCACCCAGTACTCAAGGTCAGCAACCCCGACGGCGCTGTACCCTTCGAACGAGTCGTACCGATGCCCGAGAGGCTCGACGCGGAAGTTCTCGGAAGGCCTGCCCTTCGCGCCAAGACGGCCAATGGGGACATGCATGGCCACCTGGCCCTCGGACATGTTGACGAGGAAGCACTGTGGGATGACGTACGCATAATTCGAGTATGCGGGCCCACGGCTCGATGAGATCTGGGGGATGCACTGGAGGAGGTCGCGCTGCGAATAGCTGACTGGAAGTGTGCGTGGGGGACAGAACTCCTTGAGCTGACGCCACGACGGCCTCCACTTTCGTTGCTCCCCTTGGCCGGCGTCAGGATACATGACGAGAAGGTCGGTAAGATGTTTCGGGTGGAGCTGCTGAAGGAGCAGGTCCCAAGCGTCCTCGACGGACTGGTCCTCGTCATAGATCGGGATGGCTGGGCACTTCAAGAGATAGCCGAGCGCACCGATGAAGTCGATATCGTGGGTCCCCTTGCGGCTCAGCAGGTATGTGACCAGTGCGAGGATGTCTGGGATCTCGGAGGAAAGAGAGCTGAGCAGCCCGCACATGCGCGTGTGGAACTTCGACAGGACATCGGAGATGGTCTGATCGCGATCGTCGAATGGTTGTAACGTCAGCCCACCGAGGAGCCAGTTGGGGGTCGTCTCCTGCATCGTCCAGACCCTATTGAGCCAGGCACGTGGCTCCTCCAAGGTCGTGTTGCACACGGAGAATGGCCTGCCTAGACCGCTGAAATACGTGATGACGACCTGCGACGGCTTGCACCTATACACATGGCCAATCGTCGGGACGTCGAGCTTCCATTCCTCTTCCCGTAGCTGCTCAAGCCTGGTCTCCTGTGCACTCAAGGGACTCTCGGACTCTCCGTCACCGCGGATCTTCTGACGCAAGCACAAAACATCGAGCCAGACGTATTCGGCGCCCAAGTTGAGCAGCTCGACGCGCACCTGCTCGAGGTCAACGTCGTCGGGGATAGGAACAGGCCAATCGCTACAGTTGATGCGTGTCTTGACGAGCAGTCTCTGCTTGAGCTCCACCCAGGCGTGAGATACCGCCCAGAGGTTCCGCGGGACGTCGGTCGAGAGCAGGACCCAGAAGGGGAGGACTCGGTTGCTGTAGAGGTCCCAAACTCGGCGCGGCGGGATACGGGGGTTAACGATGAGCCCGCGTTTCCGGTCGATAGCTTTTTGCCTGATCTCCTCATCTTGGCGCTTCCCACTCTCCAGACGACTCTTCAGATTACCCACGTCGCAGAACCATCCTCGGCGCAGCTCGCCGTACGCCCTGCCGAAGTCCATGGAACCGTCTTTGACGTAGCCACGGAGAAGGGCGGAGATGTCCTCTTCGAGCTCGTAGCAAGTGCCGAGGACCCTGTTGAGTTCGCCCAGGAGCCCGGCTACGCCAAGTGAGGCACATGGCGTGTCTGCGAGCTCGTTCGTGATGGCGCCGGTGCCACGGAACTTGCGTTGGAGTGGAGGGTCCGGGGCCTTGGAGCCAGGGGGAGAGATGGAGAAAAGGAATCCTTTGGGAAACTGCTTGAATGACTCGACTGGTGTGGAAGTGCTCTGGCCGTCCATGAAGTTTACGAGTTTCCAAACCCCCTCCAGAGACTGGGCGCCGTAAGAGGACCTGCCCTGTTCCACAGCAGATGACCCGCCGTCGCCGGATGTAGTGCTCCTGGGGGCGTTCTGCGCATGTTGAGAACAGTGGCAGTTAAGACCGAAGATAACTTGCAGGCCGCGAGGAATGGCACGAATATTGTACCCAACATTCCGCGACTGGGCCGAAGGATCTTGGAGATACCGCCATAGCCCAAGAGACGGCATCTGATTGGCCATGAACGAGAGAGGAGAGTATGAATCGTAACCTTTTGGGGGAGGATGGCTGGGAAGAAGAGAAGGAAGACTGGGCATGGTAACTTGACGAGGAGCCACCGACGAAAGAGCTTTGGTTGGCGAAGCGAGACTGGTGGAAGCCGGAGGAAGCCGCGTGATTTGAAGAAAATGACGGCCGCCGTTCGTTACGCAGGCCGAACTGAGAAGGGTTGATATTGTGTCCTTCGACGAAGGCAGTAGATGATTGGCCGGGGAACAAAGAGAATGGTGAGATGGTGAACGATCCCGTGGGCGATCTCGCCGGCGCATTAAATGGAGAGGTATGTTCACCCGCGCGGTCATCGACATAAGTCTCGGTGCGCAAACCGGGTGAGGGGAGTGAGTCGTTATGGGAAGCAGGTGGACCTGCAGAAGAGGCAGACTCGTCCTCGGGCTCTTCGAACATGGGAGCAAGATGTTTTCCGAAGAGAAAGTCTTCTGCAGGATCTTCGGGCTGTGACGGAGGAGCGGCCTGTTCTGCAGGCAGATTGAAGGAAGGGGGAGGGAAAGCGACCCCCTCGCGTGCTTCAAGTGGAGAATTAGCTCTGTCCACGGGCACCTGGCGCACCGTAACGATGGGGGTAGCAGATGATCTGAACGGAGAGGTGGCTCGTTCCGGAGGTAGCCCGAAGCCAGACATGGCTCGTGTCCGACGCGCGTCGCGAATTTGCCTCGTAGCGGCCTCGACATCGAACTCCATAGTCGGGAACGCCGCGCCATACTGCGGATGCCGCTGGCTCGAACGATTTCTACTAGTCGACGGGGATGGAGGGCCGGAAGGGTGCATATAACTCGCGTACATGGCGCAAAATGTGCTGATGATTGCAGAGCTGACGATTGCAGAGCTGTTAATATTTTGAGCTCCTGAGAGCAATCGGTTGACGACCCACCTTGGGGGCCTAACAGGAGCCTAAGGGGAAGTAGATCGAAGGGCGGCCGAGGGAGTGAGCTGCATCGATGGTGTTAATATCAGCCCACCACGCACGCTGCGCGATATCTACTGAGGAAACAGATCGAAGGGTCGGCTTGTTGCGGAGATTCGTCTCGGAGCTTGAGAACGGAAATGAAGGCAGGAAGTCCGCGTCAGCTTGTGCCGACTCTGTGGTGAGAATAGTGTGTCAGACATCGAACACGCCGCCGGCTCGTGGACTGACGTTTTGCTGGCAGGTCCTCATTGCAGAGATACGTTCTAACAGCCAAGAGACAGTGCTTCCCTTCGTAGATATCCCGTGGTTTTGTTATACCCTGATATGCCTCGTCAGCATCGAGAGAGCTGTAGAGGGCACGGACAGTGTGGTAAATCCTTACAGCGACATCGGTAATCGTTCTCGGAAAGCGCATATATGCATCGCGCTATTCAGATTCCGTCGCCGATCCCACCTTGCAGGAAGATGAGCTCTTGCACCCATGACCAGAACCCTTTGCAAACACGCACAACACACGTGTGTCGTGCGATACCAGGAAGTCGCAATCATGCATCCGGAACTTCATTTGGCACGCATTTACGATAAGATGTAGGGGTCCCTGGGCGGACGGGTCAAATGAACGAGAAAGGGACGCGGTATGGTTGCGACCGGAATATCCTGCGCGTTAACTAAAGGCACATGATATGTCGGTCTGAAGATGCTTAATGCGGCTAGAGGCACTCACCAGGTATCTTGTGGCACCAAATGAGCATGGCCCGTAGTCAAGGACCCTGGGCCTTGGCGGGGTTCGGGGACCAAGAACTCTTGGAGGAACAGAAGACCTGCGAAGTATTTGTACGCTGCCAGCAACCATAAAGCACTAATGACAACATACTCGGCAGATGTCACCATCAGCCATGAAGTTCACAAACCTGACACTAGTGTTTGCTGGCCGAATCAGAGGCCCGCGGAGGTGCAGACTAGTGCGGATGGTGGAAAGGGATAGCGAACTTGATCTAAGCGCCAAGAGACGGCAGAGTGCATTAGATAAGATAAGACTTTCGGCAACGACCGAAAGCACTTTGATCTCGATTATCGTGCTCTATCCTCACTCGCACCAGTCTCTCCTGCAGACTCTCTCAATCTCCGCTGCCAGCCTCGCCCAGGACAAAACTCGCAGGCAGGAAGCCCAAAATGTGGTCAACCGCGCGCGAAATCGCCGACGGCGACCTCGTGATCGTCTGGCTCGTGCGTGTCCACGTCCTGTCTCTCGCCTGCTGCTCCGTACGAACCCCCACGCTGACCCACGCGCGCGCGCGCGCAGACGAGGGACCTCGTGCAGCCGCTCGTCGTGTGCGCGGGCAAGGAGCTGAACAGCCGCTTCGGCGTGTACCGGCACGCGGACCTCGTCGGGGTGCCGTACGGCTCCAAGGTCGGCTCGCGCAACGGCAAGGGCTTCGTGCACGTCCTGCGGCCCACGCCCGAGCTCTGGACGCTCGCGCTCCCGCACCGCACCCAGATCCTGTACCTCGCCGACATCGCGTTCGTGACGTCGTGGCTCGACATTCGGCCGGGGAGCAGGGTCATCGAAGCAGGTGAGCAGCAGCCGTGCCTCGCGTTTGCGCCCCCGTCTTTCTTGTGGCCGCCCCTCCGCCAGGGCCGAGGACTTGTGGCGTCGAAGACGATATCGCGATACAGTCTTGGACTGACGCAGGCCTGTGGTTGTCCCATTGACTTTCCATTGCCGACGGGGCCGGTCCGTGTCGGACTACCATCAGGACACGCGTCTGACATGCCTCCTTCATTTCTGCAGTCTGACCACTTGATTCTCCAAGTGCATGTGCTTGCTTACTCTGGGCTTGGACAAGGTCGCTTACGTGTTTACAGGCACCGGCAGCGGGTCGTTTTCTCACTCTACTGCACGGACGATTGGTCCGACAGGGCACCTATGGTCGTACGAATTCCATGAGGCACGGGCAAACAAGGCAAGGTGTGTCGAGGTGCTTTCCTATTCTGCCCCCGACGGAGAGGCGAATTGAGTCAAATGGCTTATGCCAGCTATCTGGTCATCTTTACGCAAATATCAAGTAAAGCGCAAGCGAAAACCGGCGATATCTCGCGGGCGTCTAACGCTCTTTCTCTTTCCTCTCGAATATGGGAAACGTAGTGACTATAGCTCACCCGCTCATCCGATGTAGAGAAGAGTTTACACGACATGGCATGGACAAGGTCGTGACCCTGACCCACCGTAACGTATGCAAGGACGGTTTTACGGTAGAAGATATGGTAGATGCAGGTTAGTCCTTCTGCAACACCAATCCCAGCTCGGCCTTTGTGACCGATCACGGGCTAGTATTCCTTGACCTTCCCGCCCCATGGGAAGCCATCCAACACGCAAAAAAGGCACTGCGAGTAAGTCGTACCACGCGCGGCCCGATCGCCCTCACACTCCCCCACTGACGCGCCCCGTTGCAGAAAGAGCGGACGACGCGGATCTGCTGCTTCAGCCCGTGCATGGAGCAGGTCCTGCGGACGGTGAGCGCGCTCAACGAGGCAGGCTTCACGGAGATCACGATGTACGAGACGCTCCTGCGGCCGCAGCAGGTCGACGCGCCGCCCGCGCCGCCGTCCGTCGCGGACGTCGCGGCGCAGCTCAAGAGGGCCGAGGCGCGCCGCGAGGAGAAGCGCCTCGGCCAGATCGCGCACGCGCACCGGCAGCGTGCCGCCAAGCGCAAGCACGAGGACGTGGAGGCTGCTGCCGCCGGCGATGGTGATGGCGATGGTGATGAGACGGGCGGGAAGCGCGCGAGGACGGAGGAGGGGGAGGACAGCGCCGCGACGGACACGCCCGCGCCTGCCGCGGTGCTGGTGGTGGGGAGCGAGGAGGCGACGGAGGCGGTGGAGGAGAGGAAGATCAGTGTGTCGAAGGCGTTCCCTGAGGTCCGTGGCCACACGAGCTACCTGACGTTTGCGGTGCTGCTGCCGCCCGCAGCGTACGCAGGGGTGCAAGAAGCGAAGGAGGCAGAGGGTGTGCCGACGGAAGCGGAGGGTCTGCAAGCTTCGGGGGTCGCAACGCCAGAGATAGCGGAGGCGACCACACCGCAGGCTGCACCTTGTGCATAGATAGGCGGCCTGTACCCGAACACGGAGTGCGAGAGCCGTGTACGTCTGGCACCGTGCTTGGTCTCTGTGAATCCTTTTGCCATGCAACCTGGACATGCTGTTGCTGTTTGTCAATCGCCCGATGCGCGCGGGTGGGGACGTGGCGGACTGCAAAAGTTTCGAGTCGTAGCGCCAACGCCAAGCCAGATACCTGCGTCCGTGTCTGCTGTGGGAGACCTCGGCTGCGCACGGCGGCAGGAGCGGCACACCGAACTGCAGAGGCCTAAAATTGGTGTGGGGCAGAGCACATGGGTTGGACTCGAGGCAGAGCTTGAGTTGGCCGTTGGCTCGCGGTTGCCAACCTGGGGTAAATGGGCGACCACCATTGCACGGTGCAGCGAGTACCGGTGCGCGCGATAAACTAGGTCATAGACGAGACGAGTCACGACACGGACTCGCCGTGTGCGATTTGCGGCGTTTGTCGCCCAAGATCTCGGTTCGGGAGGCGACGTCGACATCGATGAGATCCGGCTGTGGCTTGGATCTCGAGCATAACACTCGGATTTGATCGCGTGGATCGCCCGCTGCCCCAGCCCTGGGTGTCGGATGCCCCCCCAGTCGTCCTGGTGCCGTTCATGTTGCGTGCTGCGAGAGCTGCTGCGAGGCGGCGCGGCGGCCCTCCAGTGCGCCCAGCGCGACGACGCTCCTGGCGGTGGGCGCATGCGCGTCGCCTCGGTCTAGCGACGGCGGTGTTCGCAGCGACCCTTGGAGAGCAACTGGACTGCCTGCCAAGCTCGCGACAGCCGACGGCGTCCACCAGGAACACGCTCTACACGTCTTCAGCAGATAAGGAAGCCTTCCAAACGGGCAATTCCCGTCCTCTCTTCGGCGCGCTCTCCCACGTCTCGTTCTTAAAGGCCAGGCTGTTGTTGCCCTCCGCCCCCGGCTCTGCACCATGGACCACAGCCCAAGCGTGTCTTTCAGTACGTCTCCGCTTGCCCCCCTCGTCTGCGACCGTGCTCACCAACAACCCAGTCGGCATCGTCGACTTTACCGAGGATGTAAGAGCCCGAGTCCTTCTCCATCCGAACGGCCTGCTGAAGACTCTGGAAACACTAGGCAAAGTGGCTGTACTGCTCAGCATCCGTCCACGACTTGCTAGGTGCGCCCACCTGCCGCTCCGCGCTGCCAAACCTTTTGAGATGCCGTTCCAGGTTTTGAGCCCCGCGAGCTCATAGGGAGGCCCTCGCTCGAGCTCGTGCACCCCGACGAGTTTGCCCAGGTGCGCGGCATCCACTACTCCACCATCACCCAAGACCAAGCCGCGGTCCTCGCATACCTCCGCATGCGGCACAAGGACCCATGCAAAGGCTACGTCTTGTGTGCCATCGTGAGTTCCCGCCGGTCTTCTCGATCCGCCTCGCCTGATGCCCGTCCCCGGCCCAGTCCCGCACCGTCTGCCAGAACGTCCTCGTCGGCAGCGTGTCCTACGCGACGCCGGGGCCCAAGGCGATGCACAACGCATCGACCGCCCAGGAGGTCACCATCATCACGCCCACCGCAAAAGACTTTGAGTTTCGCGTGCGTACACCCCCCCCCCCCCCCCCCCCCCCCCCCC